ATCTACTTAGCTATTTTGTACAACGTGCCTAAGTCAGCACGTTAGGCAAAACTTATCGGCATATTCCGATACTAGAAATATTCATTATTTCTTTAAATAACTATAAGGCTATATAAATAGTTATAAAATTTGTGAGAGTTAACGAAGAGTATTTGTTTTTAAGAGAAACTTTTCGTATTTCTTACTATGAATATATGATATCTTTTATTTAATTCTATATAAGGGAGAATGTTTTTTCAAGTTCTTGGAAATGCGTACAAGTTACCAATTAAATGAAATGCGTACAAGTTGCTAATAAGCAAAGTACGTATAAGTTATCAATAATGGAAAATGCGTGCAAGTTGTCAATGTGTAAAATACGTGCAAGTTGTTAATGTGCAAAATACGAGCAAGTTGCCATTTTTATTTAATTTTTGTAATATACTCTAAATCTATAATAAATAGTAACTCAGCTTGACCTAAAATCTTGCTACAAAACAGGTTAAAACATTTCTCGGCTTTTTAATATCAGTAACTTACGGGTACCGCGAACTACATCAAGTAAACTGTTAGGGGACATTAGCGAAGAAGCGTAACCTAGAATCTTGCATCGAAACAGGTTAAAATATTTCTCGGGTACCGCGAACTACATCAAGTAAACTGTTAGGGGACATTAGCGAAGAAGCGTAACCTAGAATCTTGCATCGAAACAGGTTAAATATTTCTCGGGTACCGCGAACTACATCAAGTAAACTGTTAGGGGACATTAGCGAAGAAGCGTAACCTAGAATCTTGCATCGAAACAGGTTAAAATATTTCTCGGGTACCGCGAACTACATCAAGTAAACTGTTAGGGGGCATTAGCAAAGAAGCGTAACCTAGAATCTTGCATCGAAACAGGTTAAGAACATTTCTCGGCTTTTTGAATACGTGCAAGTTGACAATTATGTAAAATACGTGCAAGTTGACAATTATGTAAAATACGTGTAAGTTGTCAATGTACAAAATACGTGCAAGTTGATATTTCTATTTAATTTTGTATCATACTCTAAATCAGTAATAACTTTCAATCTACAAATATTTCAAATCTTTTATAACAAAATATTCAGTATTTATACATATTATTTCGCAAAACATCCGAAAGTTGCCATAGAGATAACTGACTTGAAGCGCGATGTATCCGAAAAGTTACCATAGGGATAACTGACTTGAAGCGCGATGTATCCGAAAAGTTACCATAGGGATAACTGACTTGAAGCGCGATGTATCCGAAAAGTTACCATAGGGATAACTGACTTGAAGCGCGATGTATCCGAAAAGTTACCATAGGGATAACTGACTTGAAGCGCGATGTATCCGAAAAGTTACCATAGGGATAACTGACTTGAAGCGCGATGTATCCGAAAAGTTACCATAGGGATAACTGACTTGAAGCGCGATGTGTCCGAAAAGTTGCCATAGAGATAACTGACTTGAAGCGCGATGTATCCGAAAAGTTACCATAGGGATAACTGACTTGAAGCGCGATGTATCCGAAAAGTTACCATAGGGATAACTGACTTGAAGCGCGATGTATCCGAAAAGTTACCATAGGGATAACTGACTTGAAGCGCGATGTATCCGAAAAGTTACCATAGGGATAACTGACTTGAAGCGCGATGTGTCCGAAAAGTTGCCATAGAGATAACTGACTTGAAGCGCGATGTGTCCGAAAAGTTGCCATAGAGATAACTGACTTGAAGCGCGATGTATCCGAAAAGTTACCATAGGGATAACTGAATTGAAGCGCGATGTATCCGAAAAGTTACCATAGGGATAACTGACTTGAAGCGCGATGTATCCGAAAAGTTACCATAGGGATAACTGACTTGAAGCGCGATGTGTCCGAAAAGTTGCCATAGAGATAACTGACTTGAAGCGCGATGTGTCCGAAAAGTTGCCATAGAGATAACTGACTTGAAATTTTGTTCTTAGCAAAGAAATATTAGAAAATCTCGAAAAAATATATGAACACACTTAACCATTTATATATCATTTTATTCGTAATTTTATTCTGCATCTTTCGTACGAACAAAGTTTTTTCGTATCTTTTACCGTTTCGGAGAAAATCGATAAAAACTAGTGAAAACGCGAGAAAGCGTAACCTAGAATCTTGCATCGAAACAGGTCAAACTTCTTTTGTAGAAAAATATTGTTTTTGGGTTTTTAGGAATAACATATATTTATTATATTATTTATTTACATGTCATGGTTTAAATAACACATTTTTATTTCTTTAAGTTATATTTTATTTAAAATAAAATTTCTTACATTTAGCTAATACAATTACAAAAAACTAATATCTGAAATCTTGCTTGCTTTCCAGTCGAGGATGCTTTTTACGAGATTGTAGTGTTGCAGTCATAACTCCATCGCGATTTCGCTCTAATACGCGTTTTGATACGTTAGCCAGTAATTGAACATGTCTCTCAGTTCCCTGAATGTGGACGGGAATTTTAGGGTCACTCCATGGGCACTCATTGCTTTGTAGATATTGTACTAGATGTTCATGAGGTATATTTAGCGTGAAGGCTGGTTCGAATATATTTGAATAATCGTCCATATCTATCATATTAGTATAGTCGGTGCATTCGAAATTTATTTCGGGTGTTTTGTAATCTCTCAATTGCGTCAGGTCTTCCACATTATTACGGTAATATAAGATTTTTCTTATAGCTGAATCTCGTATTTCCTTTTTATTATCGAACAACATTGCTAATAAAATATTTTCCGAGTGAGCATAGTACGCGTTTTCTTTAGCAACATTGTTCACAATTTGTCTTAAATTCGAGTCTAAATATTGCGTCCAGCTAATAAATTTATAAAATAATATACTACCGTACACCACAGAGTTGTAATATTTAATGTTAAAGTACATTGGAATATATACTTTCATCACGTAGTTTGCCAGAATTTTCAAATTTTTGGATGGCTTATTAGTAGTTACATATAACCGAAGTAACCTACTAGCCTTTGTGAGCCATCGGGAATGTGCTATTGGCCCCGGTTTCTTGTTAGCTAAGTCTGTCGATACTTCTCCAGAAGCAACTGCTTTAGCTATTTTTATTAAATAACTTGAGTCAGTTGTCGATTCAACAGGACTTAAATCAGCCAAATTTTCAAGTGGGATCGTTTCAAAGTCTGTTACCGGCTGGAAGTAAATAAGAAAAAATAAATTATATTGAATTTGAACATAAAGTATTAACAAATAGTAAATATGTTATAACTCACCGGTATATTTTCGCATGTTTCAATTTGTTTGCTTAATATTCCGGTTTTTGTTCGTGGTCCAGTGGTCAATGATTTTTCCAAATAGTTAAATAAATGCCGAAGTGGAAGTTCGTTAAAGTGGAGAAGACACACAAACCAATGAAGAGGCCTATTTAACTGAATTTCAAAACGACGTAAAATCCCATTTTTTACGCCTGTATTTGCTGGTTCACCATCGCAACATATGCCTATCAAAGAATCGAGAGCTATTCCTTTATCGGCGAAAAACTCGTTCAATTTGATTACTTTACTTTCCGAATCTTCATTTTCCAATTTTGTGTAACCCAACAATTGGCAATTCGGTTCCTTTAAAATAACTAAATGCGCTTCTTTAATCATTCGTGGGTGAAACTTCTTATCGATTTTTTCCATGGTAATAGAATCATTTTTTCGGCCGTCGAATGAAAATGCTATTAATTCAGAAGAATCATATCGTTTGAGTAGAGCTTGCCTATTTTTCTGCCTCTCACGAACGCTTTTATTTTTATCCATAATGACAGGATTGCCCCAATCATCCTTTATGTCCAGGTCTTTCAGGATTGCTGTTACCACGGCAGAACCAACTCTATCAGAGATTGCAAATCTGTCGCATATTAAGGCATAGTTTGGAGCTTTGTATCTTCGACTATATGGTCCACGTTTTATATGAGAAGTATTTTGTGAACTTTTCAAACTGCTTTTAAACTCAAAACCAACATCAGGAGTATATGTCTCACCTGGAGTAATATCGCTAGTTATTGTAGATGCTGATACTTTATCTTCAATTTTTATAATATATTCTGGTATCGTAGATTTCCTCTCATTATGTTGATCCATCATAAACGCTTGTAAGTGTGCTGGGATCAATCCGCAGGAACACAGTATTCTTCGCAAATCGCATTTGCATTTTCCAATATAAAATAATTCTTTCGTGGATTCTACAAACTCCTGAAATGATGCTTGGGTAGACTTGCTTTTATTTGTACTTTTATATTTATCAATCAATCGGTTCAATTTTCTAGCGATACTTCGTTTCTCCATAATTGGAATATCAATTTTTTCCCACGTCTGAATCAATTTCGTTACCACATTTGGAGTAAATGTTTTATATGAAAACATTTTATTTTGTTTTTTTGATTCTTCGGCCAAATAAAAATAATACCTGATAATTTCCATACTTGTCGGAAGATTTATTCCAGTAAATTCTTTTGCTTCCCCAAATGTAATTTGATCATGCGAGCGCATATGATTCAAATTACTGGCACTTGCGCCTGAATTTAAATAAGAATTCGCCATTGATACTTCACGTCTAACTGGAGAACTGAATGAAGATTAATGCGAGTTTTTCACATTAATATATTCTTTTCGAAACTTCGAGAATTATAATAAAAAAAATACTAGCGCACTCTGATGGAAATAAATAACAACAAACTAAACCCGATTTAAAAACCCCCGTACAAACTATCAATTAAAATATAACTCACAATTTGAATTATTCACATGCCTAAATTAATATATTAACTTATTAAAAACAGTATTTTATTGAAAATTTCGCTGGCTAAAGAGTTATTTGCGATATATGGTTTTGAAGTCAAAATTCATTTAAATAACACATATATTTCATATGAAAAGGTGCCCATATCGCTTAATTTTACTACAATAATGATTCGGCCCAACCTAATATATATACATATACAAATGTATTATATACAGTCGGATAATCCGAAACTTACCCCGTACGGCCCATCAAGCAGCATCGGAGACAAAGGCGGCGGTATATCGGCGCTGCTTAATCCGCTGCTGCCCATTCCAACCATTCCGCTGCCTGCTCCGCAACTTCCAACTCGTCTCGGCGGCGGAGGCGGTTCGCTAGGAGTTGGGGACTGCCTGTCAAAGTCCTGCCCTGGAGGACGGCACACTGTCAGCGTCACTGTTGCGGGCGCTGTACGGAGGACCTCAAGCGCTTCCTGCGAATAAATTAAAGAAATCGTTATCAAAAGGAAACGACAACGATTTAATATCATACTTGAAAGATTCAATGAATTCTTGCAGTGTCGAAGACAAACAATTTTTACTGCAATGTAATTATTAAATATAATATATTACTATGAAAATAAACGTACGCTTTAAGAATAGTCGTAGATATTATGTTATAACTACTTTTCGAGAACCAAAAACTAAAATTTTTATAGCAAATAAACATAATCTTATTTTTGTTAATTTTTGGTCAATTTGATTATTTTTTCAGCACCAAGTTCATGGTACAGGCGAACTAACAGCTTTAATTTGCATATACTTGATAAAAATGTACCGTTTTTAATTTTCGGTAGGGTAAGTTATAGTAAGCGTCCAAAAATAAAAAAAGTTTTTGCATACCTTTACGATTCAAAAGTTTCTGAATATTTTGGCATATTTTAGAAAAAATGCATGTATGTATGTGTGTGTAATATGTGTGCATGTATGGATACAATTATTCGTCGACATTTTCGGGAGCACCGATTAACCTATTTTAATAATTCAAAAAAGAATTCCTACCACTAGGGAGATGTGCTAATTAGTTTTTGGCAAAGACAGGTTCAGCCGTATTAGAGATACTGATCTTAGAATACAGACAAAAAAATATCCGATTTGGATGTTTCAAAAAGCATTCAATTTGTAATGAATGGGAGACGTTATGATAAGTTTTTGACAAAGATTGTTCGAGCCGTTTTTTGAGATATGGAGCTAAAAGTGCAAACAATGACGTTTTTGGGAGAATGAAGCACCCGATTTCAATGATTCGAAAAACATTTTGCTTGTGTTGACAGTGTGAAAAAAGGATTAGTTTTTGGAGAAAACAAAAAAGTTTGATTTCGATGGTAATTTTTTTTATTATAATATAATAATAACAAAAAATATTTTGTTATTAAATATCGAAAATTATTTGGATTTTCAAACCCCGCTTGCTTAAGTTTTGTTTATTTAGTCTTTATGTGAACATACATAAACGTCGCCTAATTTATACGTTATAAAAGCTTTCGTCTATAAAATATGAATAATGAAAGTTATGATTATTTATAATAATCTATTTAAAATTAAATTTAATATATTTAATATATTTAAAATTCCTCGAACATTTCATTACGGTACGGCAATTTGCTTTAAAGCACGATGCCATGCACCACTAGTTTTTCTTACATTTTTGTTATTAACAAGTTGTTATTATGATACGACTATATTTATTTATGCTGTGAAAAATTCCATTATTTCTCCTGATGATAGTATAAACAAAATATTTTATTACGAAGTATTCAATACAAAAAAAAAAGAAAGTGATAAAATCCTTCCATTATTTTACTTAATTATTTTCATAATCAGAATTACAAATAATGTTCATTTACAAAAAAATATTATAACATTTTAAACAAAATTCAATAAAAAATAATTCATAATATTAAATATTCAATGTAAACTGCGTAGTATGTTAGATTACTGAAAAATATTATCGTAAACAATAATAGCTGAAGGAGTAAGAATTTTTACAACAAAAAAAAACTAATAAAAATTGTGTTATCTAGTGTAAATAAAGCTGCAGTTTATAGCAAATTAATTGAAAGAAACTAATTATGTTTAATATTTTAGTTTAAAAACAAACTAATTGAAGAGCAATTAATCGAAATGTTTAACTACAAATAATATATTTTAATATTGATAATTTATTATATTCTTAAAATTATATTCCGTGCGATTTGATACGTACACTATAAAAAGTGACTATCTATTTAAATTTTCGAGATGCATTTAAAATATCTTATACATAAGACGATTTTGTACAATAAATTACTTTAGATTTAACTGGCACCTTGTCTGGCATCTATTAAATTCAAAAAGTTTTATCGATAGTTCCTGAGAAACACATGTATATATGTTCAAGCACAATTATCAAGTCTATGCGTACGAGTAAAACAGTTGAACTTTTTCGAAGTTAGTTGAAAATCAATACTCTTTCCTATTAAATCTAGATAGCTAGTACTATCTATCTTATTGGCACCAATTAAATCCTCTGTCGGGAAAAGCATTATTTTCCGTACAAACAAAGAAATTATCAATCTTTTTAATTATTTAGTATTTCTGCAAATTATTGAATAATATTCGCCATTAAAAAAATCACAAATTCAAAAATAAGGAAATGAAAATTAATTCGTTTCAGTGGCTGTGCTTCAAGGTAAGTTTTTGCTAATTATTAGATGAAAAATGACAAAATTTTCGAAGCAACTATACAAGTATAGCAAAATATGTTAAGATGGTAAAAGTAACTATTAGGCTAAAATAATTCCAAGTGCATGACTGCGTGAGTTGTTCTGATGCGAAGCCAGGTGGTTTAGGTGAAAATAGGTTGAAAAACATCTCAAGGGGGTTTCATGTATATTCTGCTCTATTACAGTATGCGATAAAAATGTTGACGCATCCTACACTTTGACACCAAGAGTAAATATTTGATCTAATATTATGATGATGGAGCAGTCAGGGATATATAGTAGAGTAAAAATACAAAAAATAAATATAAAACCTAAAATAAAACGGCTGGTGCACTAAAAATTTACCATAGGACAGCTACTAAAATAACGTCATTGCCAAAAGTAAAAGTCTTTACCAGAAGCCTAAATATTTCGCTATAATTAATATTATTAATTTTGTGTTGAATATCCTAGTAAAGCTTTTGTTTATAAAGTCATTTACATGCTGGTATTGCAAGTTTCTTTTATTGTGGAATATAAGGAAAAAATCATAAACTAGTTTTAGTCTATTACCTATAAAAAAACAATTTAAAGGGGTATTCTAGTGTAGAAATTCAAAAAAATCGATTTTTTTTTATTTCATATTTTCAAAGTTTAACTATCTAAGAATATGGGTACGAGAAGGTTTTTGAAAATTTGAATTATTTTCGGAGATATAGGCATTTTACTGACTCGGTCTCCATACTGGTTTGGCTTCACGCAAAACTTTAAATGCGTTTTTTTTTTTTAAAAAAAACTTTATTACTAATTATTTTTTCTTTTTTATCTTACAACTACATATATTTTACTTTTTCTTTACATATTTTTACTGTTCATTACATTTTTCTTTTTACGAATATTTCTTCCAAGGGCAGGTCCGTGGGTTGAGCTGAAAATGCACTCAATCATGGTTGCACGATGTCAGAGCCCTTTCCTGTTGTATAGGGATACAACTCGACTTCCTTTGTATTTCAATCTTAGGACCTCTTTACTTCCAAGTGGCATGTTGCCACTACAGCTATGCCCACGAAAGACCATTTTCACTAGAAATCATATTTGAAATCTATGATTTCAAGTGAAAATTTGGTATCAAGCTGCTTTGATACCGAACCGACCGAGGTTGGATTCGAACCCGGGACTAAGATTTGCTAGCACACGTTCTTACCACCGGACCACGGCCGGCCCAATTTTTCTCAGAACAGACTTTTTCAGTACTGTTGACACGATTTCTCGAGTTTTAATCGACCGATTCACTTGAAATGTTCAGAGAGTCTTGTTTATAGACATATCTATAACCCGAACTAGGATTATTATATATTTTCAAAGTTTATCTAAGAATATGGGTACGAGAAGGTTTTTGAAAATTTGTATTATTTTCGGAGATATAGGCATTTTACGGACTCGGACTCCATACTGGTTTGGCTTCACGCAAAACTTTAAATGCGTTTTTCTCAGAACAGACTTTTTCAGTACTGTTGAAACGATTTCTCGAGTTTTTATCGACCGATTCACTTGAAATGTTTAGAGAGTCTTGTTTATAGACATATCTATAGCCCAAACTAGGATTATCCCCAAATTTCAATTTTTACTATTTTTAAAAAAATCGAGAAACAAAAAAACACCTTTTTTTTCAAACAGTCGCCAATTTGTAAATTTTTGCTCATCGCTGGTTCGGGCGATTGCGACATCATTGTAGATTAATAATATTTTTATTTATTGCATTTTCGATAGCTAGGAGGGCTGAAATAATGTCAAGACTGAGGTGCCAATTTTTTGAGACCACCCACTTCTTCTGCTGCCAGTTTTACAATTTTCAACTTTTTTATTTTTTTATTTTTGTTTTGTATTTTAATAATATTAATAAACAAGTTGTAAAAAAATAGATAGTAAAAACATTCATTGCTTTCTTTTACGACACTTTAAAAATGACCTAGAATTCATAGCTCTACACTAGAATACACCCTTAAAACGATCTAACAATCTTTGCCATTTACTAATAATTAAACATAAATGTTTATTATTTACAGATATTTATTAATTAATAATTTTTTAACTTACATAATTTGATAATCCGGTGAGAGTGCAGCCATTGGCAGCCAGCAGTAGATCACCTGGTGCTAGCCTGCCGGTGGCCCAAGCGGGCTGGTGCGGAAACAATCTCTTGACGCGTATCAGGCCTGGACAGGCTCCACGGGAATCTGTTCCGCCAGAAACACTCAGGCCCAGTCCGCGAGGACCTTTGGTGACGGTAACGGTAAAGGTACATTCTGAAATTGCAGAAAAGGCAAGAATTATTATATTGATTTATTTATTACATGTTATAAGTACGAAACTGAAAAATATTTGTAACAAAATAAAGTATAAATATATTTCTGTAAGATTTGTCGATAGATGTATCTACTAATTTCTTATCAGTATTATATTTCTCATGTACATTTCTAGCAGTCTCCGCTTTTGTATAAACAGATCGCAGGATAGTGTCAAATAAAAAAGGGGTATAAAATGAAAATTTCATACCCTTTCCACTCGGATGCCGCCGCTCCGGAGACAAAATACATATAAATTTTGCAATTCGCGAGTGGAAAGGGTTAATACCTATGGATCTGTATTCTCCCAACTTTTGAGAAAAAGAATTTCTTAAATTATTAATATGATCATTAGGAGTATACAAGTAAATAAAATTTTTCACACTAAGAAAGAATCCTAATATTAATAATAAATTAGAAGCTATAAAAACTTATTCTCTTAAAAATTTTTGTGAAGATTTATTAAGATCATTTATAAATTTACAAAATTTTCATTCATCCTTTAAACCAATAAATATGAACAAAGAAAACTATTTTTAACCTAACTTCAGACGTAAATTATTAATTGCTCATATTTATTTTTAATTCAAACATTCATTTTACAATTTTAGTAGTAGTGTTTGCAAAGCGGATATATAATCATCGTTCTTGACAATTTATTTAATAATCATAAAAAATAATATACTGTACATAATCAAAATTCAAGTATGTTATTCTATACAGATGAAAGATCAAACGCTTAGAATTTAAAATATTTTATAAAATCCATTTCTACATAAAACAAAACGTTTGGTTCATTATAGACCGAAAATACCAAATTTATAATGACTATCATTACGGTTATCGCATTTTGATTTTCATGAAAAGTATACTCATTTCATTCAGAAAAAATTAATAATATTAAGGGGCACAACTAATGTGAAATTTTCAAAAAATCGAATTTTCAATTTTTCCATATTTCGATAGGTTATACCTTTAAAAACAACATACCAAAATTTTAAATCGATATCTTAAATAATTTTTGAGCCATTTAAAGAGTATATATAGTATATAGTATAACGATCATTTTATCTTTAAACGCGTTTTTCTCGCAACAGCAATTTCCGAATTTGCTGCAGTGATTACTCAAAAACAAATGATCCGATCACTATCAAATTTTTTTTACATGTTCTATATATAGTTCTCCGTAAAATAAACTATCGATTTTTTGACCGGATCAAAAATCGAATTTTGGCAGTCCAAAAACGATTTTGTCAATTTTTGATTTTTTTTATCATAGGTCATTTTACAGACAATATTATCTAGTTTAAGGAGATTTTTTTTTTAAATTTCATCTACGTAGAAGGCCGGAATCACAGCAGCAGTGAAGAGATCGACAATAACCTAAAAAATATTTAATTTTTTTTCCGAAATTTAACTATGTATTCTTAAAACATGTGTAAATATATTCTTAAAATTTTAAAATGGTCGATAAAGTATTTTTTTCAATATAAATTCCCAAAAATCACCTTTTTTTAGGCAGTTACACTAGTTGAGCCCCTTAATAGTTAAGTTCCTGTAATCTAAAATTAAACACTGCTGAAATATAAAATCTAAATGCATGTCAATTTCGATATTCGTCGATAATAAAATTATATGCAAGAAATATGTGTTTTACACTTCCGCATAAATAGTAACAATAATTTCCAATCGATGATTAGCAAATTCTATTACATGCCCATCGAAGTGTTTCTTTTCAATAGCATTGCAAATTAGTTGAGCTTGTCTTTTACGACTAAGTCGATAGTTTCAAGAACTGTGACTAATTAACAGTTATGATGATTAACTTAATATCACGTGGCAGACCATAAACGCATATTTACAGTTAGGTATTTAATCAAAGATAGACGTTCATTTAGTTTAATGAACTTTATGTTTGTATAATGAATCACGTCTAATTAATAAAGAAGATACATGCAATTAAATCAACCCCAGCGACAGAAGAAAAGTCTTTTGTTATGGTATTTATAACATTGCTGTTTATGTCCTGATAGCGACGTCGTAGGAATCAAAGTGATGGCTGGTAATCTTTTTCCCTCTACTTTCAAATATTATACTTGACAAATTCCGAACTTCACTTGTTTTTGAGATATTGGTGGTAGACCTTTGTTCCCGTGGACCTGTAAGCCCCGCTCTAACCTATATGAAACTTACACAAAAGCTTTCGGAACTTCAATCAATCAATAATAAATGAAGTTTATTAAATTTTATTAAATTCGAAGTCGTCATACGTTCAACTATTTACAACTCTATTACCATTTTATTAACATCTACTTTTATTTTCATAGGTGCTTGAACAGAGCCCATTTGCGTATACGATGAACTGACGAATAATGCACAAACAACATAATAATTTTTCGCATGAGCGACCGCGATGTTTCTGTTATAAATAGACGAGGATATAATTTCAGGCCGAGTTGTGAAAAACACACACCTACAGCAATTCATCAAAACAGACTTAATTGTTTACAAACAAATATGTTATTAAGCCATCGTAAATAAACACAGTCGAACAAAAAGGAAATTAAAGGGCCAATTCTACCGTAAAATGACCAGTGTTATAGCAAGGCTATGTTATGTAGCAGTTTTCATATAAAATCGTACTATATACTATCAAAAGTACAGCTTCCAATACCGTACTAAAATCTGAATACCGGTATTTGATATTTGAAATTTGTAATTTGTTATATTGACATATTAGCATTATTATTGTTCTAAAATGAGTACATATTAATTATTTTATTACATGGAGAATAGGGGTAGATACAAAAAAACGTGAAAGTAAACAATTATATATTAACTTCTATGTTACACTTTACATATAATAGACTCGCATGGAATATTTAAGGAAAAAAACAAATTCCATTAATAGATTATATTTTGTTTATTAAAATCTGTCGTATATATAAATAAATACGACATATTTTATATAATATATAATATATAAATAATCTCTTTATCTTGCCGATATCGACAAGATGTGTCATACTGGGCTGAGCCGAGTCCGCAATACACATGCACAGTTTGGAAACTGTGTATGTGTATTGCTTAAGTTAAATTTTTAACAAAATTTTGGTGATCCCGAAATACCGGTATTAATGTATCAATACCGGTTGTTCGCGCCAATCAAAGCATGCGGGTATATTGAGATAGAAAACAAAAAATCATCAATAGATAATTATAAAACCAAAATCAAATCATTCAATACATAATCAAAAACATGTTAAAATTATTGTAAATACTATTATAACTTATAAAATAAATATATACAGTTATCAATAAAGTATTTCACAATTCGGTCCTTCGAAAAGTAAAGTAAAATTCAATCAAAGCATTCAATGAAAAAAACACCGGTATTGAATACCGGACAAAAATCGTCCGGGATCCCGGTATTCGGGGCCACAGAAACCCGGTATTGTAAGCCTTAATCAAAAGCCTAACCTAGAAAAGGCACAAATCCTAACCTAGAAAAGGCACAAATGTAAAAAAAAACATGTTATGACAACAGGTTCTTTGTGATATGGTTTAATTTTATGTGTAAAACGATTACGATTTTATATGAAAACTGCCACGTAACATAGCCTTGCCATAACATTGATCTATTTTACGGCAGCATTGGCCCATAAAGAGTCTTCATTTATCATCTTATAAGGTTGACAATCAAGATAAATCCGCAGATGAAGATACAGCAGGTTGTTCATAATTCGTCTTTCACTTTTAGAATACAAACTCACAGAAAGTCAGTATTAAAGTTAGAAACTAAATTGTCAGAACGCTCTTTCCGAAGGCAGGCCTCTGAGCCGAGTTAAATTTTAACTTTAGTACACGAAAGTATGAGTGTAAGAAATTTTCCTTTCAAATATTGTTAAAATGTTTAATCTATATATCCAAGTAAAATTTAATATCACTAGGCTATATCAACATGTATTGAATCGTTCAACAAACATCATATTAGATAAAAATTTAAATAACTTTTTGAAATTATAGACCATAGATTGCAATACCAAAATTTTGAATTTCACTTGAAAAATAAACAATACTAGAAATTTTAACCATTCCTAATGATTAAAACTTTAAACAAAAGTTTTTGATAAAAATTATTTTAAATGTTGTAATATTGCAAATTTGTAGACACTTGAATCAAATCTTTTTTTTCTAATGAGGCATTTCTTGAAATTTATTATTTTAATATTGAAAATGTGTAGATTTATACAACTAGTATGTATATAATAAAACACACATATATTTTGAAACAGAAATTGCAAACTTAGATTGCTTTGGCAATACCATATAATATCAGGATTATTTACTCTATGTTAGATTGGCTATGATGAAAACTATATATATATATATATATATATATATATATATATATATATATTTATGTATGATAATATGTGTATATGCATACGTATACCCATGGGTTTTATACCTCTGTATGCAAATTATAAATTCATTCGTCTATTTTTTTCAAATGTTAATCCAGCAAAGGTAGTAGTAATTAATCGAAAAACGCCTGCTAACAATTTTATGAGATCAACAAAAACCTTTAAAATTCTCAGAAAATTTAAATTTATATATTTGGTTGAGCTGCAATGAATGATTTACGTACATGCCAATCACTTTTTTATATTTAAAAAAAAAAGAGTATCATAAGGTTTTTAAACGATTTCAGATCAAATTAAATGAAACGATATTGTTGCAAGCCCTTTAAATGCGACCTTATTTTACCATCATCGTAAAAATAATGAAAAGTTATAAAAAGTATATAATCTAATATTTTTCTACTAATGGATAAACAGACAGACAAAGTAGTAAAAAAATGTCAGCAATAATATTGAAATTCGGCCCATCTTAAAACATAAAAATAATATAAAACATCAATAAAAAAGCCAAAGACATATTTATTCAAAATCATGCAT